AGGTGCTGTTCCACGTGTGCTCACTTTGGGGTTATTTTTGCATATGTACATCCAAAGAAGCATTTTTGCATTTTTTGAAATGCTAGAGTTCGTGTAAATAAGCTGAAAAGCAAATGTTTAAAAGTTTCTGGGGTATTTTTTAGAGAATTTTGCAAAAATCCGTTCAAAATGGTAAGTCCAGCTTATCCCAAAAGACTGTTTGGAAGCTGTTAGTCTGTCTTTTTGTGGAATTTTTTTGGTAATTTTTGTTGTGTTTTTAATGAGATTTTGATTATTCTCGTCATGTTTTTAATAAAAATGATTCTTTTTTAAGGAGTATTTCAAACTACGTGCTGCAATGATTGAGGAACGGCGCAGCAAGGGTATTAATCCGTTTCCGCATAAATTCCACGTTTCAATTGCACTGGCCAAATTCATCGCCCAATATGATTACCTCGAAAAAGACGTCATTCTGGAAGATGTGGTGCACAGTGTCGCCGGTATATCTCTTTTTAAATTTTCGTGTAAATTATACTTTTTGGGCGATTTTATTCAATGTTTTATTTGAATAGTGAATTAGGTGCTTTTTGCTTTTGCAGGACGAATTTTCTCAAAGCGTGAAGCGGGCGGAAAACTGATTTTCTACGATCTTCATGGTGAAGGGACTCGCTTGCAAGTGCTTGCAAATGCCCGGTGATGCTTTCCTACGAGATTTCGAAATATTGGTGCTGTGAACAAGTTACTTGATCTTGTTCACTGAACTGTATTGGAGTGCTATTTATAAGCACTGCGACCGTCAAACTGACGAGGTTCAGTCGCGCGGGTTGAGTTAAGGCGTATATGACTTAATGGACCGAAATGTCTTATCTCCTCTTATATTGTAATCTGTCGCGCCGTCTTTATTTAGGCTTCCGGGGTCAACATGGTTTTTACAATCTGTTTATAATGCGCAGTAAATCCACGCAGTGATTGAAGGAGTAGTAGGTTTAAAAAAAATCAAAGACTTTTCATGTTTTACTATCTTTTGGAAGCAGTATATGTCAATGACTATTAGAAAAAGCTGTCGATGGCTTCCTCTTTCAAACATTGAAAAGCGAATTTTGATAGCAATTTTGGCTTTCTTGAAGTTAAGACTTGAACCATTTAAATAGCTGTAACTAATATTGCCAATAAAGCAATTCTGCTGCAAAATTAACCTATAAATTTTTTTATCCTTACTTTTTTGGGAAAAAAAAAACATTGTTTTGCTTCCATGAAACGTGAGGTCACTGAGGATGGATTTCTCACCATGTTGTAAAGGTGGGCATGTCCAGGGGTTT